GTCTACTTCATGTTGTGCATTGCTAACAAGTGTGAAACTCCAACAGAAACCTGATCATTAGAAAGTCAAGTTCAGGATTCTCTTCTGCCCCAGACAATACATGCATATAAAGCAAGACCTCATCTGCTTTCCCTTGTATAACCCAGAGATCTTCACATAATAGAAACGGGCTACAGTAAGAAAATATTGCAGTGAAAAACTTCCTTCTACTCCATAGTGAACCCACTATAACCTTAAAAACAGACAGTGCAGGATGGGACAGGGCTCTCATAAAAAGCAATGGCTTGACACCTCTTTTAGGCAATTTCTGAAACACTGAGTAACAAACCAGCACTGCTCCCTCTACTTGTGAGGCTGAGGATTCAGAACCTTCCTCTTGGGCTCGCAAACTGCAGCCTCTCACCTGAGGCAGCGAAACAGTTCTGCACATATCCAAGGTGGGAGAAGCACCCACTGAAAGGCAGAGCACAGCCTATCTGTCACTGTGCTGACACTGCACTTCCCTTACGCTGCCCCTCGCTGCCACACGTCCCACCTGCTGGGAACACACCTCATGTGGCTCTGCCACCTCGGCCATGTCTCTTCTGGGGAAACAGAGACACAGCTTTGCTTTTTAAGAGTTGTTGCTTTGTTACACAAACACTGCTCTCAGGTTATATTTGAAGTAAGCAAGCAGTAAGCTTTGTACCTGGAGTGGAAGACGACTGGTTTGTGAGGAAATTGATAAAGACTTGCACGCATTTAGCTGTCTATTTGATCTTGAGAACTCCTGAAAGATCCAAAGTGATACACTCCAACAATTGTTAAAAAAAATAAAACTCACTCAGTAAGGAACTCAGATTTACCATAATGCCTCAGCAGTCCGAGGGAGCCATTTACTTTGACAGAACCTGAATTCCCCCAGCGGTTCTACAGTGGTAATGGAAACAGAGAAGCCAATAAATTACAACCTTGTGTGTAAAGCGACTACCATTATAAACCACTCTCAGCCTCTTGCGTTATCCCCAGGGGTGGCCACTCTAACAGCTTCTGGATTTTCTTCCCCTCATCCTTCTGCTGTGCTCTTTCAGCTTTCAGACCCTTTTATAAATCTATAACCATACTCTGCATTTGCATAGTATCTTTAAGGTGAGCATTCCAAAAGATATGGTGTAGAAACAATTGTTTTTACAGGCTGAGACAAACACTGGGAGGCTGACAGGCTTAGCAAGGGCACATGTCACTGCAGATCAGGACAATCACAAGTATCCTTCAAGCCCGAAATTGCAGGGAAACAACACCTCCAGACCTCTCATGCTTAAGGTGTGTGTCATGTGCCTTAGAGCACCTGCGGTACTTCTTAAGTACTGCTGAAGGTTGGCCTTGGTCAACTCTTCCAGCTGCAGTTCATCCCTAGCTCCTCTCATTCCACATTTCAGCACTCTGGAGAGACCCAGTCCATGCTAAGCTATTGGGAAAGAACCATCTGAACCCAGAGAAAGATACACAAAGCTCTGAGTTTTGCCAAAGTGTCAAACAGTGTTCGTTGGTTTTTGGAAATACCGACTCTGCAAAGCAGACTTCCTCGAAGTGTAAGATGTGTCACAGCAAAACATGGACATGATAACAACATGGAAGCTTGGCTCTGCTCTGCCTTCTAAGGTTAACTGTTATTCTCATAGAAACACATCCCGGTGTGATGGCAACAAACAGCACTCTGAGGGTCTCTGCAAAACCAGAGCCTGATGGAAGCACCTTGGCTCTGTGCCACTGCACCTTGCAACGAGCAGCCTCCTTCCTAACCAGAATCCCATTGGTATGTCCCAAGTTATATATTAAAATGAAAGGTATTAATTAGCAAAACACTATCATTTGCATTCAAGCCTCAGGCAGCAAATCTACACCAATTTCTGAAATTAGAAAAAAAAAATAATAATAACAATAATACAGGAATACAGATAGAATCCACAATAGCTCTCCTCAAGAGAGCTAAGTTGTCCCAGGCCCATGGAAAAGTTGGATCCAGTCCAGACCTATACAGGATTGAATAGGTTCTGCTCCAGCCCGGTGGAGGCATGTTTGTTCCAGTGGCTGTCTGGGGAGGAGAGGTGCTGCACTGCCTCCAGGAAAGCTCAGCAATCAGCTGTATCAGCAGCTCCGAGGAGGATTACTCTCCCCTGCTGCTTTTTTTAAAAGCAGATTAGTTCAGACTTTCTCTCCCTGTAATGAACCTTGTAAGGATCAAGCACACTGCATTGATTTGCAGGGTGCAGTTGGGAGCTCAGTCAGAAGCTGTGCAAACAGCCCCGCAGCCCCCCAGCAGCATCCGCTCACCCCAGTGAGTGGAAGCAGCAGTTGTTAACCATAGCAGCCAAAATGTGATTCTAAGGTCATGTGCCACTTAGCGTTCTACCAAAATCAGATGGATAGCAACCCACACAGACACACCACAGAAGTGGCGATGCTCAGCAGAGCACTGTTCAATCAAAGTCAGAAAAGGAGAAGACAGGATGTGTGATCATTTACTACGTGACAACTGGCATAGGGGTTAGGGAAGTGACTTCAGGCAATCCTGATTATGGCGAAATAATAAAACCTCAACCTCTCTGAGAATACTCACATTCTCAAGTTACTCTCAAATAAGTTTTCCCCAAAAGCATTCCTTATATGTGCATTCCCCAAAGCAACATCCCACGGTAACTGGGATTAACAGCCGGAGAAGCAGAGCCTGTGCTGCTAGGTGCCCACAAACGCTGCTCAGGGCACAGGACCCTGCAGCAGGAGCCCTGCAGGTGCAACAAGCCTCCCATGCAGCCCCTACTTCCAGTACCAGCGCAATGAGGACATCGTGTTCCAAACAACCCACCGAATGCAAACTGCCCTTTGGGGACACTGCACCTCCAAGTGACGACAGCTGTCTGCTGTGACAAAGCAGTGAGCAAAGCTGAGCTGAAAATCACAAGCAGAAAAGCAGAGGGTGGCATCCCACTGCCCCGCTTCCTCTTAAAGCTCGACAAATCTTTATTAAATACTTGAAGCCGATGGCAGCCCACAGCAAAGTAATAAAGGCTCTGCCCTGCCAGAAGTATTGCTGGGCGCATTTCACTCCAAAACTGGTTTTTATGGAACAATGTGTGGCATTTGCCATCATTTCCCGCAGGCAAAACTTTGAGACCCCAGGACAGCTCTGCTGGTTCTCCGCAGGAGAAAAAAATGGGAAATGAATTAACTGAAACATCCACGACAGTGACACAACTTCACACGGCATCTCCGCAGTGACCTTCCCGAGGCAGAAGCCTGAGCACCGAGGTACGGCTCAGGCACATTCCGCGGGACCAGGGATAACCCCTTCTACCCGCTGTAAGTATGACGCTAAAGATAAGATAAACTTCCCCGTCTGTCTTCGGAGCGTCGCCGTTCTGAAGTCTCACGGAGAGGTCCGGTAGTGAATTACATCACTTGGGGTCATGCCATACAGAACACGGGGAGGAACCGACCTCCGTCCACCGGAGTGGACGCAGCCCTTGCCACCGATTTCAAAAGCAGCGAGATCGGGCTTTCGACTGCGGGATTAAAGCATAACCGCATTCGCTGCAGCGCTCCCCCCTTCAACAAACCGCGCACCTCACACGCAGACCCACGCTCCCGGGAGGGCAACGCCAGCCGGCAGCTCCTGCACCTGCCGTGCAGCGGGGCTGGAAGCGTCGCCGGGACTCAGCGCCCCGCTCCCCGCCGGCAGCCCCGCAGCCCCCCGCCGCGCTCTGCCCGCCCGCCCGCCCCGCGCGGCCCGCACCCACCTTTCCCAGCAGGGCGCTGCGGCTGGCGGCTGCCAGCTCCCTCAGGCTGGCGGCGGCCGAGGCGGCGGCGGCGGCGACGGCGCTGGGGGCGGCGGCGGGTTGGGGGTACGCGGGGGCCGCGGCGCTGGGGCTGCCGCTGGCGCCCCCGGCGGCGCGGGGCCGCTGGCGGATGCCGTCCAGGAGACGGACGAGGAGGATGTTGGCGGGCAGCTCGTCCACGCCGCAGCCCACCAGGATGCGGCACTCGGGGCAGCGCAGCTCGTGGCGGGAGCTGACGATGCTCTCCAGGCAGCGGCGGCAGAAGGTGTGCTGGCACGGCAGCACCTTAGCCGTGGTGTCCAGCCGCTCCAGGCACACGGAGCACTCCAGCAGGTCCAGCAGCGACGACTCGTCCATCGCCGCCGCGCCGCCGCCGCCGTCGCCGCCGCCGCCGGCTCCCGCTCCGCCGCCGCTCCGCCGCCCCCTCGCCTCCGCCTCCGCCCCCGCCCCGCCGCCGCCTCCGCCTCCCCTCCGCGGGGCAGCGCAGGGCCCCGACGCCCCTAGGGCCGCGGCGGCCGGCGGCGG